CAGCCGGCCTGGGGGCCAGAGCGGAGGCCGGGTTGGAGCCGTGCCTGCCCGGTGACCTGCCACCCTGGGCAATAGCCGGGTGCTGCTTGAACGGTGCTTATTTTTAAGTCCGTTTTTTTTAAGTCATGTCCCCCGTCGAGTGGTTTCTCTGCATGAGCGCATGCAGTTCTGGTTTGGTCTAAACGCAGCAGTTTTTGAGCAGCTGAGGAAGACTAGGGTGCTCAGCTCGCTGGCCCAAATGCAGAAGTGGCTATCTGCAGTTGCCGTCGCAGATCTTCGTTCTATTTTGGCGCTTGCTGCCATCACGCGCTCGTAGCGTTAACCGCTCTCCGTGCTGCCCACGTGTATCTATCTCGCCTGGGGGGAGCGGACCCATCCAATTGCAGCTGAATAAATGGCATAGAGCGATTACCCAGCCAGCAGCTTCAGACTTAAAAGCTACGCGAGGCAGTGGTGCGGTCCGTTGCATCCTCAAAAGGCTTCGGTACAAAAGAGCCCTCTCTCAGACCAGCCAGCGTGTTGAATTTCCTCGGTCCGAGTGATTTCCAAGTGAATGGCAGGGCGCGCAGGTCTTGAGCACTTGGAGCAGACCAGACTCGGCTGTTCTCCCCCAGGACTCAACGGGGAGGTGCAAAAGCGTCGTGGTCGATTCTGCTGAATTTTTTTTCTTGTCCCTCTTGCTGTTTGTGGCTTAACTAGTGGATGAAGTCGGAGGTGGGAAGAAGTTTTCCCCTTTTCGTTGGAGGCTCAGGATGGCTTTGAATCCTGCGACGGGACCCGTTTGTAGGAGAAGTGCTGGAGCAGCAGGGTGGACCAGGGGTGTTAAGACAGAAAGTTTTCCAGCCTTTTTCTGTTTGGTGGAGCAGTTGTTGCTGATGCCTAGCAACATCTCCATGTCCCTGTGCCGCTTCCCAAGCCTGCGTGGCGGTGACCGGAGTCTCCTGTTCCTGCCCTACTGTCCTTGCAGCCTCTCTGATCCCCCCAGGCTGGTGGGATCCTGGTTGGAGAGTCGGTCGTCTGCCCTCCATGCCCTCCCTGCTCGAGCCTGGCACTTCGGTTCGGGGAGGTGCGCGTTGTGCTGACGTTCGTGACGTGCCCTCGCGTCTGGAGGGCGCGATGCATCTTCGATACCGCCGTATCCGAGAGATACGGTGCCGCGTTCAGCGTGATCCAGCATCGCTGGGCGTGCTGCTCGTCGTTCGTCGGTGCGGGGTCCCGGGGAGCCGGAGCGAGTCGGAGCCCCGGGCGACCGCCCGGGGGGACTGCGGG